GGATGACAACTGCGAGCAGTGGGAAAAGCTTGGCGAGGCAGAGCAGTTGATCGTTTTTCCTCAGCCTGTGCGTGAACAAGAGGCTACCTTACAGGTGGGGATTGCCATTAATTTCTGTGGGTGCCGCACAGCCATGTTTCAGCACCCTGCTTCCATATCTCGTAGTCTTGATAATTCTACTTCGATGCTTCATTAAGTTGGAACTTTTCTTCACTGTACTGTATTGCTGCCTCAAATGTCTGCAGGGGAGGTCTCACATGCTCGATGTTTCCATGCTTACAAGGGACGATGGCCTGAAAGCGTCAGTTTTGGTAACTAAGAGGTCTGTCGAGCGGCTTGGGGCCTCACTCGGTTCCATTTATAGGTGCCAGTGTTTGCAGGGTACCAGCATAGTCAAATCGCTACACTTATAAGCCGTATATATCATTGTGGAGGGCTCTGTACAAGGAAAGGTTGCTGGGCCTAAATGTGCGTTGCAGCTGTAAATGCAAGTGCTCCCGTTTAAAACGACTCACAAATTGCCCTATGCACGATGAAAGTAAGTATGCACGCGTAGGCACTCGGTGACTGGCTTTCAGGTAAATTTTAGCTTAGTTGCATAGAACTATGGCCTGTATAATACACATTACAGTTGATTATAAAGTGGGTTAAAAGGAAAAAGACCGGGTTCACACCAAATGTCGAATATCACAGGAGCTTATTCTGCTCAGCTGGCAATCCCTCCAGCGACAGTGTTACATGCAACCCCACGAGACCAGCAAAGCCATGCAAACCTTTCCGCCACAACTGACGGTGAAGCCAGCAAGGCATCTCCTTTCCAGCGCATTTCGGTTGATTCAGGTGTAGACGAAGATTTAACAGCTTCTGTGGAAGGTAGCCAACTTGTTGGAAACGACAAAAAAAGCGGAGCTCTTTTGTCTATTAACGTTAACTCGGCAGCTGCCAAAATTGGCGAGTGCAACGCCACAGCAAACGGGCTGTGCCCAGCTGTCAAAGTAAGTTCAGTTGATGTGGCATCATCATCTATGCCCCTCGATGTAAGCGATGGTGGTAGAAAAACCGGTCAAAGCACTGGAACGATGTCAGCTAATCCAAATAGAGAAGCAGGGACTGTCAGCGAAGTCAGGGGCAGAGTCGAGAGGACGGAAGAAGAGAAAGAGCCCCGGGATACAGGAGGTCAGGAAAAAGGTAAGATTGCAGATCACGTGGCAGTTTTCCAGTGCGAACCCTTTACTGTACCGCTAGCTACAGTACCCCAATTCCACTTCCAAGGTCAACATTTTGTATGGATTGTTGTCTGTTGCAGCTGATAGCATACCGGAAGGGCCAGCCGCTTCCGCTAGTTCGTTCTCATGCAGTGAATCTGAGGCAGAGGCCCCTGTATCCGGAGTTGACAGGTCTTTCTTCGGGCTTTAGTTTTGACCTTTCACGGAAGCTTTCTGGCGTATCCTGCTTACTGAACGTGCTCATCCCGCTTCATCCATGCTGCCTACTGTGAGTACCTAAAAGTTGGTTGAAGCGCGTGAAATATCGATAAACAGAGCGCCATGTGCTGTAAAGCTTCCCGTATCTGCTTATTAACCTTTTTTTGTAGTGCTACGTGGCAAACGGCACAACGCATACAACTCAGAGATCAGCGTACACCTTCGATGTCCCCATACTGCACATACTGCGTGCTAGTGAAAGCAATGCAAAGCCTTGAAGTTAAGGCACCTCTGTAGGTTCATTTGGACCTACAGTGGAGCCTTAAACTTGTCACACCATGGTGCAACACTGAATACTTCTTTGTGTTCCATTATTTAGTAAAGGGTTGTTCAATGCTCTTGAACCGCGGGCCGGTTGATCACTAACTATCAGGAGTATTTACACTGTGTAGCGAAGCCTCCCTGTTTAAATTTGCAGTAAGACGTTTTTAATCTCGTAGTCTGTGATTACACAGTCAGCCGTAACTAGGCTAAAATTGTTGCGGGGGCTAAATACGAGCGGGGCGAACTCGCCATACGGACGCATCTAATCCCATATGGTAATACAAGAATCCTCTACGTATCAACGGTGTAGGGAGTTGTCTAGAAAAGTCCCTTCGGACGCTGCTCTGTGAAGGCTTCCTACGTCTAGTAATACTTTTTAGAATGTTGGATGCAAGGTACGTAAATATTTCGTATTATCCTTGCGGATTTTGGCCTCGATTATCTTTGACTGTCCTGTTCGATAGACTGGCAGAAACAATTTCACGGACATCCACATGTGTAAGCTCTCAGGGCCTGTAGACGCATCTTGCAGTCGCGGTCTGGCCTCCAGCTGTAAAACCGACGCAGTGCCACCCCCCGATGTCACTGACATAAGGTACTTCCCGGCACGTAGACACCTCAATTATTCCACATTTTCGTTGATCCGCACTTTCATGCTCAGAAACTGGCAAGCCACGTTGCCAGCTCTGCAGCAAGGACACTTGCAGCTGAAACACGAAGTAATCACACCAGAACACTGCACACTAATACCTCAGTGCGTATCCATATTTAACTGACTCATCATCCTCGATTTTTACCGCGTATTTAGTGCATGTGATTCCTTTACTTCTAGGAATGCAGTGAAGCAGGACAAAACACCATGCACTCCCCAAAGTGATGAGCCAGAAGACAAGTAGAGCTGGCACATCACTAAGATGCATTGGTGCTTGCTAGTGTTTCAAAGAAAAACGGAAAATCTGGCAGTCGCTATCAAAAAGCGGGATTTTCGACCCACTCGTTTGCGGTGAGCAGAGTAATGTCCAGGACGTGGGCTTTCCCCTGAAAGCAGTGGCTACGAGGCAAGCTCATTATGGAACTATGAGGTAACTGGAAACTCCACACGCGAATTGAGAAAGGTTTAGGGATTTTACGTATAATCGTCGCTGTTAGTGTCCCCCGTTCATGAACAATGGAAATTAGATCGGCGACATATACAAGAAAGCTCCATCTGTTGTTAAACGTTTTGAATGTACGGTAAATGAGAGGTGTAAGCCAAAAGAGGGGATCTACTCTTACCATCAGTGCTTCTTCGACATCGACTACAGCTGGAGAAAACTTCACATCGATCCCAGAGTCTTGCAAATGTTGCCATTTATTGGTATTCGCTTCAATTGTATCGACCGCTCCCTGGCTGAAAGAAGGCGAAAACACAGAACAGTGGCCGTATGCTCTGGAGCATCTGAACGCAATGAAGCGAGATAGCTGAAGCGTGCAGTGTTCCTTTCAAAAATCTAAGCGTCTCCGATGCCTTACAATGCGCCTTTCATGCTTTCAACGCTGTTCAGCTCAGCAAAAAGTGGCTTCACTATGTGTGACAGAAAGCCAACTTGATTTCGAGCCATGCTACTATGCAGGTCCCGGTCACACAACGGCGAGACACCTCTTCCAAGCCGTGTCTCTTCGTCGCCTTGAAGATAAAATTCAGCAGTGACTCGCCCACTCCACTCAAAGTGCTGATCCCAATCCACAACGCTATGTCCAATGTCAGCTGCTCTCATACACATTTCCACGACCAGCCTGAGGTCAGTAAGCATACGCAGAAACCGGACTGTGATCTCAAAACGGCTATCGGAAAGTATCACAAATTTCTAGGAATCAGCAATCAAACCAACCATGTGTCATCTCTCTGTTTCCTATGGTCAAATGCAGGGTTTTGTCGCCTTGCTCTGAATCGGCTCAGGGCGGAGAAGTGCGTCTTCATGTCCGTTGCAAGAATTAGGGGTATAATATTCGACCTGATCTCCATAAGCTCCTGAATAGAGCAGTGCACCATGGACAATCGTACTGGTGAAAAATAAAACCAGGAAACGACGCTTTCCAGTTACGCACTGTATAATCGCTGCTGTGTAGATTTTGGCTTTGGTGGGCTGGCCAGTCGGTGCATTCCAGGACCGGTCGGTGTAAGATCTTTCCCACATTTTTAGCAAGGTATCGAAAGATGTTGCTGGCGCTTTGGGACAAAACTTTGAAGGTCAATGCTGAATGAAAGTTTTCGAGGACAGAACGGTCGTTGTAAAGTATTGCCTGCACGTCAACAGCACCACAATGTGCGGTGCCGGTCTATTAAGGACTAGGCATGGGAACAATTCAAGCTTGACACTTCACGCACGAGCGGTTTAGCTATTTGGCCTCCTATTGTCCGTAATTAGACAAGAATTTCATCTCCTGCTTGGCGGAAAACGCACGAGTGGCGAGCGGCTAGCAGAAAAAAATGCATTGTTGCGTCCTGGATGTCCAACATCGTGGCATAAAGCGGCGACCAGGATAGCCCCAGCCCCAAGGGAGTTGAGCCTGCAGCACATGAACGCAGCTAACCTGGTTTTTCATTCATGAATCTAGTTTCTTTATAAGAGTGTAGCGACCGCTCGTTCACCCAGGGCAAGAGACAGTTCCTTGTACAACGGTAAATGCAAGTTAGCTAGAACCAACTATAAATGCTGAATCACACCATTTGGACTGTATGTGTGTCTGATTAGTCAATTCATCACTGCCACCTACTGGGTGTTAAGCCGTGTCGCTCGACAGAAGACTCCCATGAGATGAGCCACCTAAGGCAATTGCAATCATACTGAGCAGCTGCTCTTCGCTTCAGTCTGCTCTGGAGAAGCCATTACAACTGCACAACTAGAAATATTCTGGTACTAAGGAGTACAGCCGCCGCATCTTTTTATATGCGCCGGCTGCGCCCTCAACAGTTGATACAAGGAATGGAAGCCCACGAGGCCTCTCATTGATTAATCAGGGAAACGCACCATAGCACCATGAATGGAATTGTGATACGGCAGCTTGTTGTACAGGCCTTCTATATCCATGAGAAAATAACTCAAAGTGCGATCATCACAGCCCCAGTCCGCAGAGTAGCGTGAAAGCAACGTATATCCACATTCAAAGAAGGCCGAATTTTCTGCATCATGGACCTGTATCTGTCGCTGAAACTGCGTGAAACGAAAAATGGGGACACCTGCGGATTTCAATTCTGTCCGTCTGATTCCGCGACTTAACTGCTGGAATGGTAGAGCTTTAGGAAGACCAGGACCCAGCACGGGTGTGCTGACTTACAGCCATCGGGTTGAATGAGATATCGACGCCGACACGAGACGCGAGATCTGCCGACTGCAATAAAGCCAAATCAAAACACGAAGAAAAGTGAGTATCTCGGATGGGAGTCAACAAAATTACATGATGGCTGATATATAAGGATATTTGTTGAGGCAGCGCTATGAAAAACTACTCTAGTCCAACTTCACGGAAGGCACTAGATGCAGAATAAAGATCAAAGACTGCTCGCTCAATTGCGTTCAGCCTAGACAAAGGAAAAAGGATGGTCATCATAGCAAACAAAATCTCATAACATTTGATTCCAGTACATGCCTATACAGCAGTGGGCTGTTTTAGATGAGGAGGAGATACGCAACAGCGGCGCGGCACAGCATAGCTTACGAAGCAGGGGAGCCGAATACCATCAGAGCTAACGGACACTGCTGCAAAATAATTGTCGATTACAAGCAGCACACACTCCTGCAGCCCTAATAAGCCGTTGTACTCTGTTGTAACTCAAGCACTTGGCATATACAGGTCTGCTACTGCTGAACGCTGTCAGTCTCGGGTGCATTCAAAACAACAGACCTTTAAGCCCCTGCCCTACAACTGATGGCTCAGTTCGGGCAGGGTTCACTCGCGATACGCTACGGGCGCCAGCCGAAAGTAGACCCTTGCTGGTTGTTTTCTCCACGTTAAATGCCTTAATAAAGGTCTGCACCAAAGTACCCACACGCCAGAAAAATGTCTTCGCTTCATGCCCAGCCAGAGAACCACTGTACCATACACTAGACTGACGTGTAGTGCAAAGGCTGCCTTTAAATTTTAGTGGTGTAATTGTAGTTGACACAGAATGGCCTGGAGAGAAGTTGACTATAGAGAAGGCACGCCAGCCCCTGACTTACCTTTTCGCGCAACTCTTCTTGGAGTTCCGTGTGGTATAGGTCCTTGCTATTTGCCATAATATCCAAAGATGCTTCGGCATGAGTCGCAGCATCTTTTATGTAAGACGAAATATCAGCTCCCCCAGGGGCAGTCTTGGCGCACATCAAAGCTACTTCTACCTGTAAATTTGAAAGTCTCCGAAGGCACATGTGTCCTGGATCTCCATCGAGTTCGCTACGACACCATAATCACTAAATATGCAAATTGAACATACACTTAATGCCCATATTTTTTTGCAAGCAACGCACAAATTTCATGAGTCACTGTGCTGGAGATCAGTACAACAGGAGAATCGGCGCAGCTCTAAATGCTAATGCCCTTAACTCCGCATGCAGAAAATTCAGACAAGCCGGATACTAGCAAAACCAAATACCGCTCCGCTTACTTGTTTGCAGTGGTTCTGGAGAGCGGATATCCCGCTACGCATATTGTCGTCACTTGCCTTGTCACGCTCAGCCTCTAAGAGCTTCATTTGCCGCTTCATAGACTGCTCAATTCGTCACAAATAAGCAAGAGTGCGCAGCAAAGGGCAGGGCTTATTGAACCCAGAGCGATAAATCTTACTTGCTTCATCCGATCTTACATCGGATTCTAGGTAGACTTGCCATAGAAGAACGGCTGGAAAATCTCTGGCATGTGCCTAAGCTCATCTTACAAGCCATGAGTAGAAGAGACCCCGACGCTTTGATTCGCTTGCATACGCGCCAAAAACAGCGGCGCCCAACATGAAAAATGCATGCAGCATGCGAAGGAGCCTGAAAAAGCACTTAGCAACGAATAAAGAGCGGTAAACCTAACGGAGAAGAATGCGCTTTCGCTGAGTGCAGCTAAAGCGGAAATCAAGTGGTTTGCTCCAGGATCTGTAAAAGGTTGCCCTCATATGTGCAGTTCCATTTAGCTGCTTCGTATTAAATTTAGCTATTAGCGGACCTATTTATACAGTGGTTGGCAACCGGTTCAGCAAACTACAATGGAAAGTAACAATTGACCAAGAGAGCTACAATGAAATACGCTGGAACCCAGGGAAAGCGTCTATATGCTGCCTCTTGCAGGGCACAAGGGAGTAAAGGCGGAAAAGCTCACTCTGGATACAGCAGGATTTTGCAGTACGCTTGCCCGGCGAAAACCGGAACGCAATATATAACCAAAACCGCCAGCTGAACCCAGGCAGCTATGCGAACTCGAGTGGGCAGCACAATGCTTACAGTGATGATGAAAAAGTACATAAAAAATTGCACCCATGCGTCCAAGATGAGTTCCATGGAAAGGACGAAAACCGAAAGCCTTGGGTTGCTCGTGCAAACTTCTTTTCCCGTGAGGGCTATCTCATTCCTTGATTCCCAGATATTGGCACTAAACCTGTCATTGCTATTTGTGTAGCTGTATACCTTTTCGTGCGTCACAAAGCTGGCTAAGACCAGCGCCTCGCAGATAAGAAGAAAATAGAGCGAGTACTCCAGGCGGGCCCTCAACCACGGAATCATTGGTACCACCAACGACAGCACAGCCAAAATGAGTAAGGTTACGTATACAACATTCAGCCCTGATATAAATGAGCTCGGGACATAGGACCATTCTCCAAATGCCCCAGATGCGGCAACGATACCATACACACACGTTGTGGCTAGGATCTTGAAAACAAAAAGGCAAATGTTTCGCCATATCATCAGGCGGCTGCTGTTGAATACAAATTCCTCCTCGGCGTGCGGATCTTTGAAGCGGAGGGGGAGGAGCTGAATACTGGCTCGCTGCTTCCTTTTAATTTCCGAGACTTCCGCATTTTCACTTCCAGCCCCTACAGACCAAAAGCTTCCCTGCGTTGCCGCCGAAGAATGATCAACAACAACTGCAAACCACACAATGATCGTCATGAACATAAGCTGAAACATAGGCCCTTTGCCATACGCCCACACCTGAAAACGCCGAGCTTAAACGCAGCGGCACAGTTAAATGTGCACAATAGACAGGTGAATCCACAGTAATGAATCAGCGCACGAAAAGGGGAAGTCCACGATGTGTCTAATAATTGCAAAGATCCACTTTGCATCCCTACATAGACCCAGGAAGGCATGTGGTTTCCTTTCCTCTGCAAATACGCTAGCATGCTGGGGAAGCAGAACCTTTATCACGTTGTTACGACTTAGAACCTCTGCGTAGACAAATCTGTCAGTCACACAGACTATGTCGTAACCGCCCAGTATCAAATGCTAGACATGCAATTTCACTAATGCCATCCTTCAACGCTCCGGCTGTTGCTCAAAATACACATACCTCGCGTTCGACCGCTACGTTTCGTAACAGTCCCTGCAGGTGATCCTTCCCCACAGCGAACGAAAATAGACTCTGCGTACCACATCTGGTCCAACCAGTCCTGCAGCACGGAAGCGCCCATCCACAGCCACCAACCGTGCCCGTATACAAGAGTAACCAGAGGCGTCGTTAATCCAAAGCACAGCACACAGACAGGCTCTTCAGCAAGCTATTTCTGCTGTAATAGCTTCGAGACAGAGCTGCCTGAGCTAACTACTGCAGACCCGATAGCTGCATTCCCGCTTGTGAGAACGCAGCGAGCTGCAGCCAGCCTGCAATAATGTATAACTACAACAGGAAAAAGCATAAGGAAGCACCTGGATGCTGAAAGACCTCGTTTACTTACAGCTACTGCGGGAACGAACGGGATACTCATATAGATCGGCTTTTTTGTGGCTGCGGTTTTGCTCTCTTGTTGGTTTCCTGTGGATCTGTGGCATCCACTGGATCGGCTATATTTATGTTGGGTGGAGCAGCCAGCCGAAGCTGAGCACAGCATTCTCTTAGGCGAATCCTGTGATCGAATTGCATAGTTGCCCCCTTCGCCCCCGCTGCCTTCTTTGGGTGCCGTGGCATGACGGGATTCAGGTTTCATAGCTAGCGGCTGATGCAGTGACATCTCCACATCGTCTAAGAAAAAAGCGCATTCAGACCTGGAAGCAGATGAACAAATAGACTCCATTTCGTAGGACCGTGAAGACTCCATCGTTCCAGAATCGGATTTCTTCCAGGGGGGATGGTGCGTTATGTGAGGCTTTAGTCTGTTTACGGGCTGCCTCATCCTTTGGCCGGGACAGAATACAATGTGAATTGCATGAAGTAGGCTTAAAATACAAAAGTCCCCTATTCGGCAGCCCTGGACTCAGAAGTTGAGTCCTAAAGAGCGATACAGAGTGGTGCTGCGTGCACCCCTCTGATAAGCTGCCGCGTAAACATCCTTTGTTCTGCTGCCGTGTCCGTGGCCATAGGCCCCTTCTCGCAGTTGCTGGCGTTCGCAGCCGTCCCCTTCTCCGGAAGCACGGCGAAACTGCGGCAGTACAGCGAATAAAAGCTTCGGAAAACTTGGGGCAAATTTAGAGAAGAAGCAGCGTCAACATGCTTCTAGTGCAGGTGGAACGAAACCAAACGAAAAGCGGGCATATCATGCGTGAAATAGATGCAAAAAGGGAAATGGCTACTTTGTTTGTTTCAGCATGTGTCCGAAGATGTATGTCCTGTCCGGAAGCCTCTGCGAGCCGGCAGCAGCAGAGGACATATCAGTAGAATGAACCAAGCTATGCCAAGTGTACAGTTTATCTGAACATCAGCGAAGGACTTTTTGACAGAGAATTGCGGAACAAAGCGGAAAACATGGGGCTAGAGAGAAGTAAGGCAGCTGTCCCAGGATCGCTTGCCGTGAACTACTCAGCTTCCTGTAGCGTACTCTCCAGACCAAGCTAAGCCCGAAGATTAGGTACAAAAGGCACGTTACCTTTGGTCATTGAAGGCAATAGAAAAACTGAATACAATTCTTCTGCTTGATTACCAGTTAGTAGTGCGGCAAGCCACTTTTACTAGCTTAATACGAAGTAGCCTTTGGGCACCGCAGCCAGAAGGGGAGCGCAGCACAAGATCTACAGGAATGCATCCAGGGAGAAGCCGAGAGATGCATGATTCCCTTTAAAAGCAAAGAACTAATGCCGCTGCCATAAAATTATACTTCTATTGGCATCGAGATTGATGGTTCTAAAGCACTCAACGCGGTTTCTGTAGTCATGTCCAGCCCTCGTTACCTGATCGTGTAGACAAATGTGGAGTTCCTCTGAGGTCATTGAATTAGTAATCGTAATGCATGGGCTTTGTGCTGAAATGTTATAAATTGTAGCCTTATTGAAGGTGATGAGTCTCCTTTCAGTAGGAACTCTGTCCAAATCAATGGCTAATTGCGTACCGTTCTTGCCGTCGGGTTCCTCGAAGCAGGACCCCCAAATAAAAGTAACCCAGAGTATTCATTGCAGAGATGCAGTAGCATTCCAGCATAAAGAGTCTTTCCCTACTTCTCAAGAGTACGAGATGAAATTGCAAAGCAAATGCGTAGGTGGGAATATCTCAACACTGCTGGTTCTTCAGAGGGTCGCACTCATTTCCTTCGCACGCGTGAACACAGTAGAGCTCCCAAAAGTGGACAATCATCTATCGGCCAAAGAATATGGACAACCGTCTCTTTTACAAGGGATAGAGTACCACCAACACGTGCTCAAAATTTCTATTAAAAATTACAGGTCGTCCAGGGGTAAGCACGAACAGCTTTGTCGGCCATATTCGCCCTTTTTCTTTGCCAATGAGAGACCTTATAATTTGTATACTCAGAGAAAGCGCACTCGGATGAGAGCACGCGAAGTGCTCTAGGCGCTCACATCCCCTTTTGCCGTCAGGGTCCAAGCGTCGTGGCAAAAGCAGCACCGTAGGTAACACTTCACCTGTTTCCGCGGGTAGACACTTAACACCACACACAACGCAAGCTTAGTACAGAAGCTTCGAATAATTTTTCAAAGATCTGCCTCATTGCCCCGCCCTCGATCATTAGCACCTACATGGTGGGATAGGTGCAGTTGGCGTTCACGAATGTTCACCATCTAAGGAACTCTGAGCATTCAGAGCTGGATATGTATTGTATCTAACACACACCCACACAATACTGCATCTTCTTGTGACGAATAAACAGTACTTTACAATAAATAGTAAAAATCAACAGACAGAGCATTTAGTCAATTCTCTACAGATTCCTTGTTGAATTAACCACTACAGAAGAAACTGCATAAGTGTAGCTTAGCCCGCTAACTCTTCCCCCACATTTCAAGAACCACACGCCTCGCGCCCAAAGCTGCCTTCCGAGCCGAATGCTTGCAGGGCAACTGACGAGTTTCCGTCCTATCGTCAATCTTCAGGCAAGCAAAAACGCTACGACGATTCAGATGAGAAAGCGCAGACGAATGCGCCACCCAATTAAAAGAAGTTTACCGGAAGAAGGAAACACACACTAGCCTACCGCAAACGAGAGGCCAATAGAGACCAGCGGGGGCGCGATGCCGCGCTGTCATCGGAGCGCTGGAATGTGCGAACTTCTTGGCATGAGAAAACAGGAAACATGTGAAGTATGTAACGGGAGTCAAATGACAAAGTAGTTTTACAGTGCCTCCGCGCCTTACAGAACAATGTTTAAATGCAAAAACTATTGGCATGTGCAGCATAGTCGACTTCGAAGCCCCATAAGCTGCATAAAGAAAAATGTCGATATCACATGCGTGAGGGTCCACTGCGCGCAAGTACAAGTTTGGGGAAAATACCTCAAAAAAAGAACCAGAAACTTTTATTGCAATACCCAAAAATAGTGCTCACCTTCTTCAGACGGCATTTTCTGGGTAATTACAAGTATCAAGGCAGGAGAGGGTAGAGTCCACTAACAGGAATAATCAAGATAGAGCCGCTGTTCCCCCGTGAGCAACGAAGCCCGCGCCTGCTCCTCAGTTAACGACTTGATGTTGGCGTTAACACTAGATAGTCTCGTGTAATGTGTGGTTGGCGCCCAAGAATCCTACATTCCAGGGCTTACACAGCTTTCTGTGGATACATCAGAAACGTCACGCCAGGCTAGCGCTTTGTTTGTCAACGCAGCATGTGACGCTACGCTCGTGCAGTTTCTACTACAATAGTTCTAATGCACCAAGCAATGGTTTATTACTGACTACTTGGCGTGAAAATTTACATAGCCTGCTTATAGCAGAGCGA